CCCCCCTCTCCCCCCAACACAAACAACTAATGGGACAATATGGATTATGAAAATAACTTATGATGATGCGACTCATTGTACTAGACAAATGAAAATATTGTGATGTGACTTCGTATTATGGATGTAAAACAGACACACGAGTGAATTCATCAGCTTCTTCATCTTCCATTCTTTTAAATAAAGCCAACAGAGACAGATTGAGCCACAACTATTTTTGCTTCTGTATTGTAACACTATTGCATCTTCTTGATGCCATTAATGAAACCAATTACTTCATAAAGAAAAACAGAGACATATTCAGCCACTACTACTAGTAAATTAGATCATAATAGTAAATTTTCACATAAAGACCCAGAAAGCCAAAAAGAGTCAGTGATTCTTAATTATGTGAATCATGAAACTGATCCAATGATATATCATCGGTGTGAGCTCATATTATGGATCTAAACTGACAAACAAAGAGAACATCAAACCAAAGCAGATTACAAGTACCTTAATAGTAACCTTGGTCTTTACTTGACTCTCCAAAGCTTCAGTCATTGACTGCAAACAGTGCAACAACATAAGCGATAAACATGGCTTAAACCCCAAAAAGCCAAACAAAAAAAGATGTTTTGACTATTATACACGATTTTAGAAACAGATTATTTGTATGGATATGTACATACATATATGCTAAAGGCCAGTATACGCTTACAGAAATAGGTTGCCACTAAATGTGAGGGCAGATGCAGTACTTGGAGCCATTGCAGTAGATTTGAACCATATACATAGTTGTACAATTTCTCAAAAAGGTAATTTTATTTTTAAGTTTGCACCCAACACAAAATGGAAGTGGATACAATGACATCCCATGCCTCTAGCTTTAAATCATGGAGACTAAATGCAAGGAGATGTAGTCCTTGGGCAGCAGGTTCCGGCCCATTGCACTCAATTGAAACCATATACATAGTTGAACAAATTTTCAAAAAAATATAGTTTTGTGTCCAAGTTCACCTTCGTTGCATGAAAAATTAGTGCTTTATTTTTAGATATGTGTAAATATTAAAAAGAAAGTTATAATTTATACAAACCTGGTATTTACACCAACCAAATGGATACTAATCATAGTTAATCAATACATATTCTCACCTTAATTAATGACTTAAACATGATAAATAGCAGGATTTGGCGTACGCGTTGGGTGCGGGTAAGTGTTTACACTTCATCTACTGATTTAAAATCCTGGATCCATCTGTGAGGCAAAAAAACTGACCTTGTCGAACTGAACAAGAACTTGAATGGCGAGTTCCGGGCTAAGGATACCATTGGAGACCATCTCATCAAGTGTTTCAGTCAAGCACATACCAATCGTTGACCTCCTGTATAGCTCGAATGTCGCCATTTTTGGTCCTTTTCAAGATCTGCAAAAATTAAGAATCAATTCAAAATAAAAGGCAGATTTTCAAGAGAAAATTAAATACTACTTACTAAATAGATTTCAATAATGTACAGAAATTAAACTATGAATTAATGAATTCAGGTTGTGAGGGAATTACAATTGAAGGTGAGAGAGAGAGAGAGAGAGAGAGAGAGAGAGGAGTTCGGTTCGAAGAGAGGGAAGAGATTTGGGGCTTTTTATACCCTAATATTCGTAGCGGATGGCATATATAGGCGAGCGGTGGAATCGTTAACCCGACTTGACCTAAATACCCTTCTTTTGCTCCTTATTTCCCAAAGGAAGTCATAACAAAATAAAATGAAGAGTTTGAAGGGTAATATCTGTTATTTTTTGCTAACACAAATAATTTTATCCATCAAAATTTATAGATGGATAAAAATCAAGCTGGATCGCATGATAAGGATGTACGCGACAATAAAGTTTTGGGAGGAGTAAAAGCATGTATAGTTTTTATGTTCTATAAAAATTATTACATTATTACATTAATTTTATTATATGCTAATATTAAAATATAAACTTAATTATCTAATTAAATATTTATTCTTCAGTCATTTATACAGTTGAATTCCAAAAGCGAGGCTTGCCTCGTGCACACATTTTGCTTTTTCTTCTGAATAAATACCCAAATGTCGGAGATATTGATGGAATAATTTCAGCAAAATTACGTGATAAAAAAGTAGATCATTATTATTATAATGATGTTACAAATTTCATGATGCATGGTCCTTGTGGTACTGCTAGAAAATCTTCTCCTTGCATGCAAAATGGTAGATGCACAAAGCACTTTTCAAAAAAAATTTGTGTCATCAACCACAATTGATGAAGATGGGTATCCAATTTATAGAAGAAGGGATGATGGTAGAACGGCAAAGAGAATAGGTATTGAGTTGGATAATAGGTATGTTGTACCACACAATAGATTTTTATTATTGAAGTATGGTGCACATATTAACGTGGAGTGGTGTAATCAATCACGATCCATTAAGTACTTATTTAAGTATGTTAATAAAGGAAATGATCGTGTCATCGCAGTTTTTTCTCAAAGTATAAATAAGGAAGACTCGGGGGTCTTATGTATTTTGATTGCCGATACATATCACCTTGTGAAGTTGCTTGGAGAATTTTTAAATTCTCAATACACCATAGAGAACCATCGGTAGAAAGCTATCTTTTCACCTACCAAATAATCAAACGGTCATATTTTCGGATGATGATCCAATTGATGCAATTGTCAATAGAACAACCGTCAAGGAATCTATGTTTTTAAGCTGGTTTGAAGCTAATAAGACATTTCCTGAAGCAACAGAATTGACTTATGCAGAATTCCCTCTAAAGTTTGTGTGGAAACAAAACCTGAAAAGATAGGAAAAAAGTAGAACATCTGCATTTTCTATTGGGAGAATCTTCTTTGTTCCACCTGGATCTGGTGAGTAATATTACCTTAGATTGTTTTTGAATGTCATAAAAGTTCCAAAGAGCTATGAGGATTTATAAAAAATCAACGGTTGTGATTATGAGACTTTTAGAGATGCATGTTATGCTCTGGGTTTATTAGATGATGACAAGGAATACGTGGATGCTATAATGGAAGCAAATAATTGGGGAATGGCATCATATCTTAGGTAATTATTTGCTATGCTACTTTTATCAAATTCAATGTCACGTCCAGAAAGTGTTTGGCAAGCAACATGGCATTTACTATCAGAAGATATCCTTCATGAAGAAAGAACTATATTGGATCACCCAGGTACTTATATAATGCTTATGATTTTGAGTTATGATATGATACTTTCTGAAGGATGGCTGATTTGCTTAACTTTATTAATTAATTTTCTTTTTAACTACTTCATTCATATTAATTTGATTGTTCATTGCTTTATATATATATATATATATATATATATATATATATATATATATATATATTTCAAGTTCATACAAAATTCATTCCAGCACTTAAGGTTCCTTAAACAATATTTTGTTATGTTTATGTCCTTTTACTATAGTGTTGTGTTTCGATCATAGGAATAATATTGGTACTGATTGATGCACTTTCCAGACATAAATACTGATAGAAAATTAATATTGTATTTAATTCCTTTAAGCTTTGGGGAAGCCTATAATCGCTCTTACGCATTCTCTACTTTAATTGAAAATATTTCAATTCATTATTTTTGGATATCAAAACTGACTTTTTGGATACATTACGAATACTAAAATACATCTTCACATTATTAGTACTTTTTTAAAATAAAATGAACCACATGGTTTGGACTATATTATTCCTTCAAATTCTTTGTACGTTAAATGTGCTTTAAATTCATGTAAACTACTATTGAACACTATACTTTTTCGTTAATCTTATTATTAATTTCATGTTGCTAAACTAAACATTAACATTTTATTGTATTTAATTATTTTATATTTTTATGTTATTTCAGAAGCTGACCTAACAGATGATGAATTGAAAAATCATTGTTTGCAAAAGCTTGAAAAATTTTTGAAAGGTTGTGGAAGAAGTTTTCAGAATTTTCTAACAATGCCAAGGCCTATTTATAATACGGAAGAAGTTGACAACAGTAATAGATTAATACGGGATGAATTGCGTTATAATAAACGTGTTTTGGCGGAGGAACATCAACAATTAGTAAAGAATTTGAAAGATGAGCAAAAGTCAGTTTATGAAAAAATAATAAGAGTTGTAAATGACAAAGGTGGATTTTTCTTTTTATATGGTTTTGGAGGAACACGCAAGACTTTTATTTGAAGAACTCCGTCTTCTGCCACAAGATCTAGAGGAGATATTGTGTTAACTGTTGCATCTAGCGGATTGCATCTCTGTGTTACCAGGTGGTCGAACAGCTCATTCAAGATTTGTGATTCCTCTAAATCTAACCGAAGATTCAACATGTAATATCAAGCAATATACTCCTTTAGAAAATTTAATTATTAAGGCAAAGTTGATTATTTGGGATGAGGCACCCATGATGCATAGATATTGTTTTGAAGCTCTTGATAAAACTTTAAGAGATATTCTTAGGTTTAAAGATGCATCCAATTTAGACCGACCATTTGGAGGTAAAACAATTATTCTTGGTGGTGACTTCAGACAAATATTACCTGTCATTCCAAAAGGTAGCAGACAAGATATTGTTAATGCTTCTCTCAATTCTTCTTATTTGTGGCCCCACTGTCAACTCTTAAAGTTAACAAAGAATATGAGATTGCAAGGTAAGACACATCTAAATGAGTTGAGAGATTTTTCAGATTGGATTTTGGCAATTGGCGATGGTATAGTTGGTACTTCTGTTGATGGCAATGAAAAAGTCCAAATACCAGATGATCTTTTGATAAAACAATCTATTGATCCAACATTTGCAATTGTAGAAAGTACATATCCTGTCACGATTCAAATTCCATATTAGGTCGTGATGGCGCCCAACACCATTGTTAGGCAAGCCAACACTAATCAAATAGTAAATTCTCATTTGTGTAGTTAGTACGTGATTCCATTATGGATTAAGAAATTTATAGTTTAAAAATTTACATATGTTTAAATGGAAGTATTAAATGCAAATCTCAATCATGAAGACAAGCCAAAACATCATAAGTCTACTAATGTGTGTGCCAAGACCTGATGTCACAAGTGTGTGGGCAATCTAGTAGAATATACATAACCACACTATCCTACTGTCTAGAAAAGGAATAGACGGGAACATAAAGACAAAAGAAAGACTCCAGTTGCTGCAGAACGGCTCAAAAGGGCAGCTCACCGGAAAGTCTCAAGCTGGGGAGTCCATTCTACGCGTCGGACTGATGGCCAGATGCACCTACCTCAAAGCTTGTACAATCAAGTACAGAAGTGTAGCATAAGTACATAGAAATATGTACCCAGTAAGTATCTCGAATAACCTTGCAGAAGTAGTGGTGAAGGGTCGACTCCGATAGTTACTAGGGCCAGCAAATACAATAATATGAAGTTCAATAAATTTAATTCAAAATGTATGTAGATAACAACAAGCTCAAACAATAATAATTATTGAAAATACTTTCATCCAATTAATAAAACTAGGCACTTTTCTCATTTAAAATAAGTGACCTTACAAGCAATAAATCATACGAATTATAAGGGTTCCGGTTCTATTATCACACACAAATACCACCGAGGACTCTCAGCCCGATCCAACATAAAAGTAAACTGTGCACCGCCGAGGGTCGAACAAACCGAACCATATATATACATTTAATATCCTGCCGAGGCAAACGGCCCGCTCCCATGAGAGTAGTGGAAATAATCATCCCGCTCGCGGAATATACTTGCGGCGCGGTTAAGTATAAATATAACATAATGTTTTTCTCAATTCTTATCAAACAAATATTTACTTGAAATCCTAACATCTTCAACTTAGTCCCATTCAATGCAAATCAACAATTAAAATCCCATAACGGAACCCACAAAGCATGGTGTAAGCCTAGAACTACCCGAACATAACAGGAATAGTAGCTACGTACGGACTCTCGTCACTTCGTGCGTACGTAGCCTCCACAATTAATCATATATTAATTAAGTTCACCTATGGGGAAATTTCCCTCTTACAAGGTTAGAAAAGAGACTTACCTCATTTCGAGCCTACTTCCAACTCAAGAACGCGTTCAAACTCCCAAACCGTAGCCGCACAATTCGAAACTATTCAAATAGTGTAAAAACCAATCATTATAGGTTTACAAATTCATATTGTAGCTATTATAGTGATTATCCAACCCCAAAGGCAAGGTTCCTAAAATTCACCCCCGGGCCCACATGCCCGGATTCCAAACAATTTCGAAGGAAGTTATTACCCACAACCTAAGGATCAAGAATATATGATTTTTACTTCATTCCATAACGAATTTCGTAGTTAAATCTTGTTTTTCTCAAAAACCTAGGTTTTACTCTAATTCCAAGATTTTCACTAATCTATACATGTTAATCTACCCAAAATCCAAGTATTTAACTCACATATAGTAGGAATTACTTACCTCCAAAAGCTTGGTGAAGAACCCCTCTCAAGAAGCTCAAAAATCGTCTACAATGGAGTGAAAAATGAGCCAAAACGTCTAACTCCAGTAGTAAATGCAGGTCACTGCCTTTATTGATTTCCGCATCTGCGGTCTTGGGCCGCACCTGCGCCCACCGCATCTGCGAGAAAGTGTCCAC